GCAGAGACGGGGAAGCAGGTAAGCCAAGTCAGCGCTCTAAACACTCTAACACCACTCCGTGGCAGACCTCGACTCCGCCCTTGCGACCTGCGAACATCTTTTTGCCAGCCCAATTTTGGGTTTTGGCCGCATCGCTCGGCACGAATGAGCTCCCGTCTCGGTTCTTGGTGGGGCCAGAGATCAGATTGTCGGACAACTCTACACCCTACAGCTTTAACCAGAAGACTCCTTTCCAACCCCCCCCCCCCCCCCCCCACAACTTGCCGATTTTTGCACAAAAACCTGTACTGCCCGAAAAGCGGACAAAATTGCCGGTGTGCTGCTTCACAAATAGAACGGCCTTAAACAATTATCACAGAGAACATCAAAAAGGATACCACCGGCTGGGGGTTGTTGTGTTTTTTTCGCCCTTGGGAGGATGCCTTGTCGTCTCGCAACATGCTTATAAGGTGCAATAGTCCAAGTACTCCACATCTTCGGTTGAGGGTATGCTGAAAAAGGAGACGAAACAAATGCGACTTGCCACACTATGGCTCCCTCCACCCCCATGGCTTAACAGCTCGAATTCCTGATCCTACCCCCCCCCCCCCGACACAGGTTCTTAGGGCTTTGGTAGGACCCATGCTTCTCCTGCAAGAAGAAATGCAAACATGGATTTTCAACCCTTTCCATGTGTTGGAGGTATGGATGGTTATGTAACACCAATATATGGCTATGATTGTTTTTAGGGGTCTGTAACGCGCGACGCGCCACGAATCCTGTTACGGAGGTCTGTAACGGAGGTCCTTGTTACGCAGGTCTGTAACAGCAACAACATTTCCCGACAAGCAGTATCAGCAGCACAATGTGGCGCAGCAGAACGAGGTATGTAATGGCTATGTAACGAGGTCTGTAACGAGGCAAAGAAAGGCGCAGGACGCAAAAGCGCGCCTCCGCAGCTCCAGCTTGATTGCAGCTACTCAACGCAAGCCAAGATGCGGCAAAAAGCCGGGTCGCTGGCCCGGGCTGGGGGTTGGGTCTGTAACGAGGTATGTAAAGGCTATGTAACGAGGTCTGTAACGAGGCAAAGCAAGGCGCAGGACGCAAAGCGCGCCTCCGCAGCACCAGCTTGATTGCAGCCACTCAGCGCAAGCCAAGCTGCGGCAAAAAGCAGGGTCGCTGGCCCGGGCTGGGGGTTGGGTCTGTAACGAGGTATGTAACGGCTATGGAACGAGGTCTGTGTAACGAGGCAAGGCAAGGCGCAGCACGCAAAGCACGCCTCCGCAGCCCTATTCAACGCAAGCCAAGCGGCGGCAAAAAGCGGGGTCGCTGGCCCGGGCTGGGGTTGGGTCTGCAACGAGGTATGTAACTGCTATGTAACGAGGTCTGCAACGAGGCAAAGCAAAGCACGGTACGCAAAGCGCCTCCGCAGCTCCAGCTTGATTGCAGCTATTCAGCGCAAGCCAAGCTGCGGCAAAAAGAGGGCAGTCACGTCACTGGCCCGGTTTGCTTATCTGAGGTGTGTAACGAGGGCGTGTGACGCGGGCGTGTAACAAGGGTGTGTAACGAGGGGTGTGTAACGAGCCAGCTGGTTTTGTTACAGAGGTCTGTAACGTGGTCTGTAACGAATGTCCGCCGCGGCTCTGTTACAGACTCAAAAAAAAATCACTGCCATATGAGCTTGTAAGGGAATACCTAGACCCTCCAGGTGTGCAAATTTTCTGCTGCTTGCTGAAAAAGCCGTATGGTGTCGTTTGTTCCCAAAAGAACCTGTTCCTTTTAAAAGTGCTGCTTCAACATCTTGCCAGAACATGGCCGGCAACTGTCGCTTTTTGGTCGGGGAATGTAGCCTCTGGTTTCGCCAAACAGCAAGATTCGCAAGAATGCACCGAGACAAAAAACATTTGTCATTTGCACCAAAAGGAGCCGCTCAATACCCAGTCGTCCTTTTGAACACCAACTCACCCAAGCAGCAGTCATCTCCACATCCCATACAAGTTTTGGACCCAACTGGCCCCAGGGAATCTACGGGAATCTCTAGCGCTTCATGGGATTTAGAAAACAAAACTCCAAATCCCGGACAACCGCTAAACCAAGCCAAAGTGTAGAAAACTGTGTCAGGCTTCAGCAGTCTGACCAAGCCCGATCCCTCCAATCCGCCGGACGGTCCCATCCGGAAATCGCTCTCGCATTCGCTTGAGGTGACGGTGTGGTTTGGGTGTCGCGCTTCGACGTTGTCTGAACCACATCCACACAAGCGTCCCGCTAAGCTTTACCAAGGGCCCGGATTTCCGACCGACCGCAAGGCCCAAGAGGCGGAAGACTGAAATCTCTTGAGGTGCGCTTCGGAACCTCCGGTACGTTGTGTCCCAATTTGGTCGGACGACAGCTGGCCACACAGCTGACCTTGGCTTAACTTCACAACCCTTGGCACGGTAGCCAGAATCGTGTTGTTGGTAGCCTCCTACTACAATGAACAGGGTCCGAGAACCACAAAAACACAAAACTTGCCAAGCACGTTGCAGTTAACTGCGAGTTCCTGGGGGCAACCAAAAACTCCGATGCTGCGAACCTTTTGGCATTCCAAACCTCAAGCTTTAGAGCGGCTTCTGAAACAATTATTCCCCGCCGAGCCAGGGTACTTTGACAGCTGTGGCAATTTGGCCTAACCTTCATGTTTACAAGGCTGGACAGCCAGGCAGCCAGGAACTGACAGTCGTCGCCCAGGACAGCCGCGCAGGCCCAAGTGAGGTCAGTGGCCGAGCAGCTGTGACTGGCGGGGCCTTGCCGCTGAGTGGCCGGACCAGGACAGCTGTGAGGCCGAAGCCTGAGAGCCAGCGCCGGACTAGGACAGATGTCGCTGCGCGACTGGGCGGCTGCTGTCCAGTTGTGTGTTGATGGCACTTTCGACACAGAGTTCGCCGTTTCTGCACGCAGGGGGCGAGCGCGTTTTAAGCTACACAAGGGGCTCAGGGGCCTTGCGAGCTGCGCACGGCTTCTGTAGGCAAGGTGTAGCGCTCCGCTTGCCACACTGGTCTGTGTCTCAAGTGCCAGAGCCGACGAAAAACTGCAACTTCCTGCCACCCTAGATTTCCATGAGGTCATCGGCGATGCCTTTGGTGTTGCGTGTTTATGGATTGGGTGTCGACGCTGCCTTGCTTCCATTTTGGTTCCCTGGAATTTCTTCGTCATCGCATCAGCCAACAGCATGCCTGATGCCGGGCACACAGTCGGATTGGCCTTTTGGTGCCTTATGTGGTAGCAGTCAAGCTTAGCAAGGACAATCCCTGAGCGGCGAGGTAAAGTGGTTCTCCAGTAAGTGGGCGATTGTGTGCACCACAGCAACAACAATCCCAGCAAGACATCGCGAACGTCCAAGCAATCTCGCTACATGCAAGTTCGGGAGCCATTTGATGGCTTTTCAGACAGGTTCCTTTGGCGCAACTCTTCCGGCCCACTTTTAGCAGGGTTCTCAAAACGTGTCTGCAGGTTAGGAGGGCCGACCAGGCAGCATGATTGGCAATAACCCCAACCTTGCTCTAACACGTCAGCCTTTCCTAAAATGGAACGCCTAAGAAAGGATAGGCCTCTCTTCATCCAAAGCGGGTGTCCGTATGTGTCAACGTTGGCCACATCTGTCGCCAGAGCTCCCTGCTTCACAGGGCAGTGTCCCACTTTGCAACGAGGCCCTCGCTCCGAATTCGGCGGGCGGCTCCGCCTTCAACTGCGCTCCCTCGGCGCGCAGCCCCTGCGCCACAGGCGCCGCGGAGCCTCGCAGAGCGTTGGGCCCGCGGCACAGGGGCAGGGCGCAAACTGTTTTTTTTCTCGCCGCACCGCGAGAGCCGAACGCCTTTCTGAAGGAGCCCAAGCTGAGCTCCAAGTCGAGGTATGCTTGGTCCGGCAAGGATTTCCGATCTTGTGGGGCTCAAAGGACGAATGCCAAGATGTTTAAACTAGAGCCCAGGTTACACGGTGCAACCCGAAATCCACGGTATGAAGGATGCATTTCACAAAAGCGTGCGCTCACTCTAGGCCAAGCGTGAAGAACAACCGCAGCACTTGCATGTTGTCTTGCCCAATGTTTCAAAACACAGAGAGTGATTCCGTCGATCTAATTTTGAGGAAGCCATTGGTACGCCGCTTGCTCGAGGGTCGACCTCTTGACGCATCATGGCCAAACGGATCCCTGCCCAAAGTTCCTCCGATGTCCGCCGAGAATGATGGAATATGGTGGACCCAGCGGGGCAACCGGCGAAAAGGCGAGGTTTGCGACCTCAACATCTGCAAGTAAGCTAGGTCCTCCAGTGGCGAGGTTGGAATAAGGGTGCCCTTTTTTAAATTGTCTATTTTAGTAGCCCTCCCCTAAGTAAGGGTAAAAGGGCACTACTGGGAGACCTAGTCAGGGAATCAGGAAACCCCTCAACAGCCATGATTTGCTGATCCTCCCAGCTTCCATCGGAGCCTCGCCCGCTCGGGACCCTCCCGTTGCCTGGGTGGGGCTGGAAGTCTTGTGAAACCTTGGGCGCTAAAAGGCAGCTGCCCCACATTCTTGGATTCTAGCTCCTCCAGTAGCGACTTCGAATAAGGGTACCCTTCTTCCTGTAGCCTATTTTTGGTAGAGGAACCCTCCCCCAAAACAGAAACGGTAAAAGGGCACTACTGGGATTGGTGGCTGTTTTCCAAAATATCTTCCAGCCCCTGCCAAAGGCCCAAGAAGCCGCCAGTTTGCGCCTCTTGAAGCCCCCTGGCCTTTGAATCCTCGAAGCGCCATCCTTCCGACTGCGGTCGCCAGGTCGACCGGGCATGGGAACAGGGAGGGTGTCGCTGGGATTTGCCGCCCCGAAGCCGTGCAAAAAAGAAAAAAGTCGCCAGAGTCTTTCGGAAGGACCGCGCCTCGCCCGTCGAAAAAACCCGGCCGGCGGCGAGGACCTCGCCGCCGGCCTGGTGAAACTCGGCCGAGCCCGGCCGGGCGCTTCAGCCCTGAGAGGCCATGCGATTCGAAGCCGAAGCCCAAGCAGCCATCAGGAGATGACGCAACAGGAGCTCTGGCGCGATGCGCCCCCTTGAACCTGGCAGCGAGGGCCGGTCCAGTCCGAACGAAACACATGGAACCAGGGAATAACTCAGTTGCCCAAATACCTGGAGTCTCCTTCTGACCCTCAATTGGGTTCATTACCCAAAAGAATGGGGCATGGAGACTCCAGGTACAGCTAAGAAGAGGTCAACCTTCTTTCGCCATGGCCATTTCAAGGACCAAAAAGGGGAATCTGAAAGGTCAGATTTCAGGTCCATCCGCTTCGCTTTAGCAAGTGAGATCGATCCCAGCCACTTGCAAGCTCAAGCATCGGCTGCGATGGTCAAGGCCCCGATCGCAAGCCCAAACCCTTGCGCTTGGGCTCCCCTACTCACTTGCCCCTTAGGGACCTGCAAGTAAAAGGTTAGCCTTTTGGAGTCATGACTAAAAATAGACCAAACCCGGAAAACTGAAAGGTCATTTCAGGTCGATTCGCTTTGGGCAAGTATGATGATGATGTACACATCGAACCAAGTGAAGTCAAAAGAGCCCAACCCGCCAGGGAAAGAAACCACAAAGAGCTTGCTCAAAGAAGAATGCACATCGAGAAACTTGAATGGAGAACCCCTCGTACCCACCAAGGTAAGCTTGGAGGTGCATCCCGGCTTGGCCCAATTGAGGGGTTGTGTCAGCTGAAAAACGCATCCTCCACAATAAGTGGATCAAGTGGCATGGCACAACCTTCGCTGGAAGAACGCCTGACACAGCCTGAAACTGTCCATCCACTTTGCCACCCACATCTGCAGAAGGCGTTGCACGGGAAAAACGCATCCTCCACAATAAGTGGATCAATTGGCATGGCACAACCTTCGCTGGAAGAACGCCTGAAACAGCCTGAAACTGTCCATCCACTTTGCCACCCACATCTGCAGAAGGCGTTGCCAAGGGAAAAACGCATCCTCCACAATAAGTGGATCAATTGGCATGGCACAACCTTCGCTGGAAGAACGCCTGACACAGCCTGAAACTTTCCATCCACTTCGCCACCCACATCTGCAGAAGGCGTTGCCAAGGTTCCCCCGCCCGCCCCCCCCCCCCCAAAACAAAAAAAAAAAAAACACCCGTGCCTCTATTTGCAAGGCAAAAGAGAGGCTGGGGCATGGTTCAGCTCCCAAAAAGAATCAAGAAACACTTGAAAAACGGGTTTGTTTCTGGTGTGCCCTTTCGATCAGGATTGCGACCCTGGCTCAAGAACTGGCGATCTCCCACGAAATCTGAGCACAAGGCTAGCAACTAGCGACCATGGGGCCAAGGCAGAAAAAACCCTGCGAAATTCGGGGGATACAACTATACTGGGTGACGCTTCCTGGTCCTTAGTAACCACCATTCAAGGCCACGACCTTCGCACATACTTGTTATCGCAGCAATGTTAACCCACAAACAGTTAACCCCAGCTTATGAATAGGGGGTGTCCAACTGGGTTTAGTTGGGAATCATCACTTTCATGGGGGAACACCCCCCTATTAATAAACTGGGGTTGATTAGTATGGGATTAAGATGATTGGCCACTGGCTCCTTGTAAACCCCTTGGAAGTTGACACGAACGCTACTCGAGCCCGCCTTGTCATCTGGCTGCTCAATTGTGTCCTCAGCCGACGGAATGGGTGGAATCAAGTTAGGGATGCTTGCAGGCCCCCAATTGCGGACGGCGGGCAAAAGGGCACCCGAAAGGAAACCAACCTCAGTGTTAGAGGCCACCTTGTTTGGAACCCGTGCCATGGTCAATCCGCATGTGGGCTCCAAGCAATGGCAATGCCAATGGTCGCTGTCTAAAACCCTCATCAAGGGTTCATGGAGGGCTTATGACTTGCATGCAAGCCCCCCTGATGACACATAAAGCAAAGGGCACAAGCTAACAGCCCAAAGGAACCGCTCATCATGTTCAAACCATTGCACACATCATATCAACTAAAGGGGGCTGGAACGCCCGCAGCCAAGCCCTTCGCAAACAAGAACAGTCCTTGTCTTGGCTCCTTTCAAAACCCACCCCGCAAAGAAATAAAAGAAACAAGCAAGAAACCGCGCAAATGATATGATTTGCCTGATGGCTTTCCTTTTGAACCAACCAATGAAACAATCCATACTCAAGTATAGCCCCAAGGCTACCCCCAAAGCGTCACACCGCAAGCTGCCGAGGGGCATCGATCTGAAGCGGCTCGAGGGGACCTGAAAAAAAAAAAGAGGACAAAAACCGACCCAAGGCTCGAAGGCCATGGGGGCTCTCAGGGCTCTCAGGGCTCTCAGGAACAGTTCCGGTGGATGCCCCTGCCATACTGATGGAAAAGCGAAATCCGCTTCTCGCACCACTTGGGGTTTCCATGGTTGAGACTAGTTTTCATGGATATTTACAGGGGAACCAACCTTCCAGGGCTTCTTAGGTGGTGCGAATTGGAGTTCGTCCATCCACAGTATTACTAGGTCCTCCAGCAGTGGTAGGGCTCCCGAAATTTCCACCCAAAAACATCCCTTTCACGGGCCAAAAAGGTGATGTTTAAAATCGCAAAAATGGGAAATATAGGGACCCCTGAGCAGAGAGGTTAGAACAAGGGTGCCAACTTTTTTCGGCAGTCTATTTTAGGGAACCCTCCCCGTAAAAGGGCACTACCGGGGGACCTAGTATTGCAAGTAAACCACACTCAACCACAAAACCATGGTAAATTGCAGTAAATTCGGGGGCTCCTTATTACCTGCCATACTTTGGGCATTCCCCGCCTTGACTAGCCTCCGTCCAACCTTGTGCAAATCACGATGTTTGTGTGTTTTGTGTTGGGTTTATGCTCTTACAGCAACTATGCGAACAGCAGGATGGGTCTCTTCTCATAGGAAAGTAGCCTTCCAAAACCATTTGGAGGGAGGGTACCTTACAAGCAATTGAAATCACCGGCGGCTCAAGTGCAAGCACCCGTACCAGGGTCGTGGGAAAACAGTAAAGCCTTTGGTCACTTTGGTGTTTTGATTGGGTTTGTGTTGGGTCAGCACGCAACTGGGAAACGCGTTTGACTCCCTTCTTGGGCATTGCTGCTCCTTCATTCACATCGCCCACCTTAAGAACTTGAGGTCAAAAGGCCTATCCATTTCGGGCTGAGGAGTAGGAAGAGGCGACAGCCCCAAGAAGAGTACACAAGAACTATGCTCCCCGCGCGTTGGGGCTTTGCAGCACAGTAGAGAGCGTCCAGTGAACTGCCAACGTTTGAAGAAATTTGTTTGACAGCCCCTAAAGATCCCCAACTGCACCGGATTGGGGCATGACTCACATGACACATAGAGCCATGGATGTGTCAAGCCAAAAACGAGCCCAGGATTATGGAGCTGCAAGGGGGGAGGGTTGCGTTTCAGGGGATCCTCCTTCTGGTGGGTTCCATGTTGCTCCACGGCTTGCATTCAATGCAGCTGACGCATGTTTGCGTTCCACGCAACCAAGTTCGTGCTGACGTTGGAGAGCGGCGAACTCCGACCCAAGTATCAAGGTGCACACAAGGTGCGCACTCAGACCCAATGCAATCGAACAATACCAGATTGACGTGCTCTAACTCTGCAATCAAATGGCCCGCCAGCCAGGGTTCTCACCGGTGTGGCAAACTGTGAAGCCCCATGTCTGACTGCAAGTTTGAAGCAAATCAAGTGGACGGGGCGCATCAGGCCACTTCAAACTGCCCCAATGGTTCTCGCAAGCAGGCAAATATCTGGGTATTTACCCCTGGTTTGGTAGGGAAACCTGAATGGAGCAGGTTTTCTCTCTCTCTCTCGCTGCCGTTGCGCTCAGAGGGTCTTGACTCAGCAAGGAAACGCAAAAGGAACCCACCAATATATTCAGGGGCACGGGGTGATACCCAAACATTCCATCCGGGATTCCTGCTCCTTCCATTTGCTTAAGCCCCCTGGACAAAAATAAGAATAACATCCAGTAGTGATATAGACTCCCTTTCAAACCCGCCAGGCCAAAAAAAAAATCAAAAAAAAAACCGTTCTTCGGCCACCTGCGCGGCTCCCTTCCGAAGCCTCTCCCAAAGGGCTTTGACCAAAAAATCGGACCCGCGGGTAGAAATCAGAAATCGGCGGGCGCGCCTGTGTCCTTCCCCCGCAGGAACTCGAAGTCGTGGTCGCTGCTGGGCCCGATCTCCGCGCGCAGCCCCGCGAACATCTTCCTGCGCGGGAGCAAAACCCGCGCCCCCCAAAACCGAATTCCAAACCCCCCCCCCCGCAAGTCGCTGGAATGAGACTCACCCAGAAGTTGCTGGGCTATGAGGACCCCAACCAAAAAAAAACCGGCTTCTTCTTTTTTTTTTGGGGGGGGGGAAGGGGCTGGTGGGTGGAAAGACCACTGGGGGACCCAAGAAAAGCCACGAAGAAAAGGGGAGCTTCTTCTGGGGAAGAAGGCTCCCCGAAGGGAACTCAGGCTCCCCAGATTTCCCCGCCTCGTGGCTACAAGCTATCCCAAGCTGGGCCATGTTCATCGCGGGGCACGGCGGGGCCGTTTTTTGTGGCTCGGTCGCCTGTTTGGGGTCACTGTCCATAAGGAAACCAGAGGGACACTGCCTGCTTTAGGGGCTCTCCTCTTTGGAGACAAGGCTAAATCCGCCCAGAGGGAACTAAGTGCCCTGCTTCGCTGCTTTGGGCGGTTCAAGGCTCAAGGAAACTCGAAAGCACAACTCCGGGCCCCGCACTAAACTGTCTGGTGGGGTACCCCAAGCCGTTCTTCCTTCTGCTCATTTGGGAAACAAGCATTGCCTTGCCTGTGAGGTCTTGGCTGGCGCCCTTGTATGCAGACCGCCAGGATCCATGCAGTCCGTGCCATTTCGTTTCCCTTTAGACCAAACAACAAGCAACCACAACAACAAAATGGCGAGCCACCCATCGAGTTGCCTTGACCTAAGGGGTGCCAACAGCAGGAGCATTGCTCACCAAGACATCTTACCAATTCACATGCAACCTCACGTTTCGGGGTCCTGGTTTCAACCATGTTCCTCAGGGATCCCTGCCAGGTTGGCGGGAAATGGAAGCCACAAACTCACAAATCCTGGCTTGATTCTATGGGGGTGTCCCCTTTTAGTGGGGCTTCATCAAGTTCGGAGGGAGCACCCCCTCCCCCTATAAATGGTGAAGCCGGCCTGAAGGCAACGTAGTCAGGCCTCTCGGTGTACCTTGGGAAGGCAAGGCTTCAAAGAACCGTTGCCTTTAATTACCCTCCCAACGATTGACATGGAACCTGATAGGGGGCCCCTTCAAAAGGACATGATCTTCCAGGACCCCCCCTGTCAGGTTCCATGTTAACTGGTGGGAGGGTAGTTACATGGCGGCCAAAATAAAACGGAAGCCCGTGGATCACAATCAAGGAACCTTCATGAGGCTCTGAGCATCGGTTACCCCAAAGCCAAACTAGATAGATTTGTGAATCGCACACCTCAACTTTGGCATGCCTACACCTTGCTGGCACCTCATGGGCTAGCTTTCCGTTCATCTACAGGTCGTCCGTTGCACCATTTGCTGCATCATGCTGAAAGAACCTCTAGGAGCTACCGTGCCTGCATGGAACACTGCGAGGCTCCCGGCATTGTGAAACCATGTTGCGTAGCCAGAAACATTACCACAACAGACTGGCGACCAAAAACACAGCGATGTCTACCAACCTACAAAACCTATGGCCCACTCAAACCCTACCTGGTAAGCTTGTCCGCTGTGGCAAGGTGTGGTCAGTGAAGGGAAAATGCGGTCCAGAAACCGTGGTCCGAGAGAACATTTTCCGACAGGCGACGCTCGGCATGAAGCTGTCGGAAAGACAGAAGTCCCGCCCCGTTTTTTTGGGATACGTTGATGCAACCTTCTCCCGTAGAAGTGAAGAGGGGTAATCGAGAACACAGGTGCAACAGGGGTCTGAACCTTTGTGGAACGCGGACCATATACAAGAATTGCCCTCATGCAGAAATTCACCTGGAGCCCCGCAGGCCCCCCGCAGCTCCCCCTCTCGCGCTATCCAGACCCTCTCCCCCAGCCACTCCTTTCCGGGTTCGTTCGCTTCGTTTGCATTCCTGTTATGCCCCAATTTGGACAAAAAGAAGATCCATCAAAACGAGCCGTCGCCGTGGTGATGCTCGACCCTCGTGAAACACGACTGAGCAGGGGTGAACAACATCTTAACTACTGTCCTCTTGGGAAACTGCTGATGAGAATCAGCTACCCTCGAAAAGGACGGTTTGGATTGTTGGTTTGGTGGTTGGGGCGTGGTTTCCCATCTACCCTCGACAAGAATCAGGGGTTCAAATCCAAATCCAAACAACACCAATCCCAACCACCAATTTGTGGTTACCCACAACTACCTAACACCTTGTGCCCGGCAAAACGCCACTGCCCCTGGGCTTTCCTGGGAGGAGGGTGCGGTCACCCAACCCACCTTTTGCCCATGGCTCAAAATCTCAAAACGAGCGCCACCAACCCCCGCCTCTGGTCCCAAACCTCACTTGCCCCTTAGGGACCTGGACTTGAAAGGTGATCACCTTTTGGGACCTCCAAAAATGGGATCCCAAAACTGGGCTCAACCAGTTTTGGTCAAATTTCATGTCGGTTTGGAAGTGAGAAACTCGCCACCAACCCCCACCCACCCCCAGCGGCCGGGCTGGTCAACTGGGCTCTCCGGCTTGAGAGCCCTCGCCTGCTCCAGGTACTTGGCGAAATGGGAGGGGTGGCCCTCGCCTCAGCCGCAGGCAAACTGACTCAAGCCCACCCGCGCATGAGGAAAAAAAAAGCCTCGCCCGGCGAGCTGTTTTTCCGATGAGTGGAGGGCCCGACAAAAAAGAGTCCCGGGAATTTTTGTCGTCTGCCACCCAAAATGTCCAACTCGGAGTGGAACTCCACAAAATGGGGGAAACCCCGGAGTTTCGAGGTTCCAAACCCTGAAAAGCTCGAGTTTCTGCTCATTTGCGCGTCCCACAGCCCATAGTTTCCCTTTGGGTGCCAATGGGCATTGACTATCTCACTTTCTGAGTGGATTGGCCCAAACAAAGTCTAAGCTTGTTGTCTTCCACTCACATGGTCTTTGGAGACTTTAAACTAACCCCTGCGACAGCGATCCTTCATCGAGCCCTGACTGACTCGATTTTCCCCGGTTTGGTTTTGTTCTGCCACCTTCCCAGCCTTTAAGCCGCACCAAGGGCCGCGCAAAGTTGGTTGATGGGGTAAGTCTCCTGCGGCCGGGCAAGCTCGAGCGCGCAAACCCGCGAGAAAAAAACACAACAAAAAAACGGCGAGTCGCAAGCTGGAGCGCGTCTGACAGTTGGATGGCACATAGCCCGTAGCTCACCTGGAAGTAAAAGGTGAACCTCTTGGACCTCAACAAATTGTGCAACAAGAGGAAACCAACAAAAAAAGGTCGGCTTTGGACACGTGAGATAGTCCTCCTGAAAAACTGAGGCGACATTGACAGGCTCTGCTGGAGATCCCCAGAATCATGAAGCACTCACCTAAAGGAGGCATATGTTATTGCTTGCTTCACTTTGAGCCACTAGTAAAATGAACATGTATCCAAAGTCTACCCCAAAATTGGGGACCCCGAACAAGCACATCAGCCGCACGCAGCGAAAGCCCCACCTTCACCTCGCGAATCCTGCGGTACTTCTCCTCCTGGCGCGCAACAGAGGCGACATTCCCCCAGCACCCCCTACCTACAAAGCGGAATAATTGGTTGAACCAAAACGATGAAGGAACCAAAAAAAACGGAACCAAGAAAACGTACAACATTTACCCCTGTAGGTAACAACTGCTTTTTCAACCCCGCCCAAAAATCCGTTCACGTACTGTAAACCAAAAGCAGTGGTTGGGACCCGGGTGCCGGCTCCCCCAATGCCAATCTTGTCTTTTCAATCTACCAGAAACTCGACCGGAAAAACCCGTGGGGATCTACCACGGCCGATGAAGCCACGCACAAGGAACATGGTAGAACATTTACGCACTTCCGATCGAAAGGATGAGCCAAAGACCGTCTAAACTTGTTGTTTACCGCTAGAATGGTCTTCCCACAAAGCTTAAACAGTCCAGGAAAGTGAGTTCACTAGATATGACAGGCTCCTTTCAAACTTGGGGAAAGCACAAACAACACTTAAAGCAAGCAATGGTAAAGCATAACAATGGTCGCAGCTGGATACACTCAAACACCCAGTCCCCCGCCACAAAAACGAAACAACCACAAAAAACAACCTCCAAAGCATACCCACCACAAAACGAAGCAACAAAAACAACAACTCAAAAGCATAGTTGCCCCAACCTCTTAATCGGGGTCAGGGGGGAAATGAACACACATGCAACAATCGCCGGAGTCTTCCTCGCAGCTGACCAGCTCTCTCGCGAAAATCGGCGGAAAAATCGGCGTCTCGCGCCCTGCCTGGGACTTCGCTTCCAAGCCGGACCAAGGTAAAGAGCCACGGAGGAAGTAGAAGAGCATGTGCCCCACCGCCTTCGGTGCGGATGCCACTCTTCCATTTGCTTAAGCCCCCGGGAAAAATTAAATACTTCCAGTAGTGATAGATTCCCTTTGAAACCAACAGGAACAAATCTTAACCAATTGGAAGCACTTTGGTCAAAAACAAATGATTCGCTTTGAAGTGAGCAAAGTGAGAGCTCTACCCTAGGCGTTCCTTCCATTTCCATTCTTTCCACGGATCAAATCTTTTCAGGAAGCCATTAAAAACCCATGGGAAACACCCGCTCATTGAAAAGAACGTTGAAAAGAATGGGGAATCAACCCCTAGACCTACCCTATTCTTTCAATGGAAGTGGACAAGGTGGCTTCCCCAAAAGGAAAGGCGCCCGAACCCTTCCCCCCCCCTTCCCGACCTTCCCGATCGAACTGGGAAGGACCCGCCCCCCCGTTACCATGCACACTTGGAGAATATGTTGCAGCCAAGATCCCCAAAATACGACCACCCTGAATCTGAAGGAGACTACAAAATAGACCCTGGGTGTCTCATACGGACCCCCATCCCCATCCCTATCCCCATCCCCACCCCCATCCCCATCCCCATCCCACTGGGTGAATTATAATATTTCACTTATTTGGGGTGAATTCGGTCGGGTGAGGTCCTAATAATTCACCCAGTTCCAACCAACATTGCCCCAAAAGACTCAAGCATAGGTGTCCTTTGAAAATTGTCATGGGCTTTCACAGGTAACTTCCAATCATAGGTGTCCTGGCTAAACAACCCCATCCCTCTCCAAACCCCAAAACCTCCCCCCCCAAACCTCCGCAAACCTCCGCCCCCAGGCGCCCGCCTCCAGGTCATCACGCCGGCTTTGCTCCATGCCTCGCCGACCCGAAGGCGGTCAGGGCCGCAAAAAAAAAAACAAGCTCCCCGAAAAGCTCTCGAAATGCCCGTCGCGTCGAAACAGGACGATCCTTACATGAAAAAAATGAAGAAAAAAAAACGAACATTGCAACTTGTAAATGGTGTGTATCTTTTAAGGAGCCCTGCTAAACTTGCTGCTTAACACTAAACAGATCATCCCAAAACCTACTCAGCCCAAAGAGCCTGGAACTAGGTGAACCTTTTGGGGTCATGACTAAATATGACCCCATGGGAAAACCAAAAGGTCATTTCAGGCCGACTCGCTTTGAACAAGGAGCCTAGGAAGGCCACCCAGGCCTGGGAAGTGGCCGCTAGGCGCAACCTGTACCCAAGTGCCAGCTCGGTCAATGGAGCCCGGAAAGACGAAGGAGCGACTAGAACCTGCGTATTGTCGACCCCGGATCTAAGTAGAACCCGTCCCAGGATTAGGGGGGTGGCAACCCTCCAAAAGTGGCCTGAATCCCCACTACAAGGGGACACCCCCCTATTAATCAGCCAGGGGTTTATTAATCCGGGGTTAGCATTAACCCCAGCTATTCTAACTTTGCACCATGCCCAAGCGGGAAAACTGGTTTTTTTCCGCCACTTTGATGCTCCCCATTTTGAGGCCTGGCATGCCCCAAGTAGACCACCCACCATCCCTCTGCAGTGTCAAAACCCGCGAAACCCCCGCGCCTTTGTGGGCGTTGATGGAAGCGTAGCGCGCCGTGCCGGTGAGGCTCTGGAGCGTCCTGAAGAAACAACTTGCCCAGTTGGCTGGTGATCAGTTGGCTGTGGGTCAAACAGGGTAAATTCAAAAGGAAAGCCTGGACAATTGGAACCAAGGACAGCCTGCGGTCCGATTCCTGGTGGTTTCATTTGACCCATGCCCAGCTTGGGTTTCCCAACGAATAACAAATAAGCAGGGCGGAGGTCGCCTTGCTTGGGGCAACTGAGAAAGATCTTACGCCTCAGATAAACATGGAACGCAGAACAGGGATCCGGATGCATTATACACCTGAACATTGCAACTTGTAAATGGTGGTGTCCAACTTTATTTTGGTGTTGAAAAAGCAACATGTTTCACATGGGCAAGCAAAATGAATTTCTTTAAGGAGCCCTGCAGAAACACACCATTTGTTTGGCGGCATCTCCCTGATGCGAACCTCCTCTTTGGGTTCGTTCGCCCTTCTTCGGGCTACCTTCTGGGACCTTGACTTAAAATGGAGCCTCTGGCACCTTCACTCAAGCCAAAAGTTGATTCATGCCACTAAAAGGTTTGCCCAGGTCGACTTTGGAGGAGTGAGGACGGACCGTTCCAAATGGTAGAAATGGGGGGAAAGGGCGTGGCCAAACCCATTCCTTCAAAAAGCCGTCATGAATGACCTATCCCACCTAAATGACTAGGTCCTGCAGTAGACAGGTTAGAATAAGGGTACCCTGTTTTCTGTAGTCTATTTCAGTAGGGGAACCCTCCCCCAAAAAGGGTAAAAGGGCACTACTGAGGGACCTAGATGATACAGCCTCACACCCACACGCATAGCGTCAAACAAACTAACCCACACTCCACAACAACACGAAACACAACTTAGGGACTTGTTCCAGCCTCAACATTCAAAAGAAGTAGTTGAAATTGCGTTCGGTGCCAACAGCATTTTGGGGAGGAACACGCCACCCCGAGCCTGCCTTTGATTCCTCTTGTTTTTCCCGCGCTCCTCATGGGTGCATGCTGCTTTTCCCGCCAGTACCTGCCAGCAGGTGGGTTACGACCACTGCAGACCCCCCACTTGCCCCCCCGCAACAGAACCGCACAAACTATGGGTCTCTGTTGTTGGGGGTACCCTTTTGGGGTTAAAAGCACCATTGAAACGCAATGGCTTCGGATCGGTCAGAACAAGTACATGTACATGCCGACTTTTGGTGTGACAAGTTGAAGCTCGAACAACCGGCAGCCACGCCAAGGGGTCCAATTGGATGAACTCTTCCATTTGCTTAATGCCACCTGGAAAAAATAAGAAATATTTCCAGTAGGCATAGATTCTCTTCATGACTAACAGGGGAAAATAAACAATACTCTTTAGCAAATGGAAGCATTGCATGTCCACACACAACGCAGAACATCGACAAATCAATGGCGAACCATTTGTATGCCATCCGGTTGCGGCGCAGCTTTCCATACGCAGGTTTTTCAAATTTGAGGCATAGGCCACACGAAAGTGCCCCACTCACAACAGTCATCGAATGCAGTCCTGCTCTGCAACTGCTCTTGTGAAGCAACATTTTGTGCAAGGGGTGCACACATCTGCTAAATTCACCAGCCTGAAGTGTGAGATCCCGAGTTTGGACTGACCTCCACGGGCCAAAAGCCGCTTCTTTCACCTTGATCCGGGAGGCAACCCGCGCGCATGTCAGCTCAGTGCGGACCGATTCGGCCGTGCGGATCGATTCGCCGGCCGATGGCGTGCGGATCGCCCCGGAGGTCGGGAGGTCGGCCCCGGAAACCCGACACCGCGCCTGCGCCCCAAGCCGAAGTCGATGAGGTACAGCACATGCACGCGGCGCCCGATGCCGAACCTTGAGCTTGTTTTTGGCCGGAGGTGGCTGAAGCAATACAGGGGCCTGCATGGAGTCTCCCTTTGATCCTTTACAAATGGGGTCATTACTCCCTGTTATTTTGGAACATGACCAACCTTCTTCTTTTTGAGGGTGGAGACTGCAATACATGGGCCTGCATGGAGTCTCCAGGTCATGACCCCCGTTATTTTGGCTAGTAACCAACCATCTTTTAAGGGTCATGGAGACTCCAGGTATACATGTGTATAAGTTTCAATCGGAAAAGTGGCATTGGAGACTTCTGGCAACCAATGGTCGATTCCCATCTGACCAATTGGCGGGAAGATGGGGTGGTCGGTGGGTGGCAAGTTGTAGGCGGCGGGGGGGGGGGGGGGGGGCAAGTCCTAAGCCACCCCTTTTGCAGCCTATCTGGGCCAAAGTGACTTACGTCGTAAAGTGGGCCGCGATGCTTTCAACCTGCTTGCTGCGATATGTGTGTGGTCCTGAACCCTCGCTGCTTGCCCGGAACATGGGACCTACAGAAAGCTACACATGGTCTTCCAACTGGGTTCTATCCCTCTATTTCCCCTCCAAACAGTATCCACAAGGAAACCCCCCCCTGCCCCCCCCCCCTCCACTGCTTTCTCAACCCTCTTCCGCGCGAAAGAAGTGAGTAACTTGGCGCATACCGTTTGTAAACCCCCCTTGATCTCGTGAAAATCAATCAAGTGCAGCGATGTGGCTGACTCACCGACTGAGCGGTAAGATCTGGAGGCTCCCTTGACTTTGGGCAGATTCAAAAACCAAACAGACAGAATCTGGTGAAGGGAACCGGATGGACGTTGCACACCCCGCAAAATCCCTCAACTTCGCCCATGGAAGGACAGCCAACCCGAAGCCCCACGTCGCCACTCTGGCGGCGACTGATCATCCCTAAGGCCGGCGCATGAAGTTCTCCGGCTTGATGTCCTCGGCTCAGGAGTAAACATGTTATTGTTCAGCCCGTTCTAGGGGTTGATTCTTATTCCCCATTATTTTCAGCCATCGTTCTTATTCCTTTTCCATTCTTTTCAGCCATCGTTCTTTACTGTTCTTTCCATTTCCCCAGGATTTTTGGTTGTTTTCTAGAAAGATTCGGATCCCTGGAAGAATGGGGAAGTTACCCCTAGAACCACCCCGGTACCTCTGAACAAAAAAGGAGAGCCAAGGAATCCAACAGCCCGAGGGATTCCAAATTGATCCAAGCTCGAATGCCAGAGCCTTACCCCTTAAAACTCCAAGCCCTGGGGAAGTTAATCTCTTACAGACATATAGCCCATGTTACCCCCAAAAAGTTGAAAAGTTGTGTTTTTAAGAGGTAAGGAGCTTTCGTGGGCCAGTCATACCTCTAAGCCTTTCACATATTGGTTTCAGCGTTGCATGGACCGTAGGCGAAACAAATGATGCTTCACCTGGGTCCCGGAAGCTCGAAATCCCTTAGGGAAGCTGGGGGCAAGAGTGCTGGTGCTTTTTGCCAGCGGAAAGCACCTCCTGTACCTTCACAACCCAAATGGTATGGGTTGCGAAAGGCTGAGTCTGCTTTTTTGCAGCCACAGAACCAAACAGAACCAAACAAAACAAAAACAAATGCCAAGAACAGTGAAGATACGAGTTGAGTGTGTCTTTGTAAGGTACCAACCCCTCCACACTGGGCTGTCCGCTTTCAGATCCCTTGCTAGAATTTCAACGTCCAGTGGGATGAATAAAACCCCCACTGAGCCCAACTAAAAACCTAGAAAGCTAGGGAAACGGCTGGAAAACCACCAAGCAAATGGCGGAGGGGTCCCTTTGACTTCCCCTTTCCCAGCAACAAGGGGCACCCTCAAGAAAATGCGCCCAGCCCCAAGAAAATGCACCCATCCCCGTGTCATAGCTTGGCTGGAATCAGGACCCCAGCAAAAAACATACATGTTTTGCCTGGTTGGTGGAAAACAAAGGGGACCCCAAAAAAGCTTAAAAAAGGAAAAAGGGGCGACTAATCCTGGGGAAGATAGCTTCGCAGTCCGGGCATTTCAGCTGAAGCACCCGATGAATGAGCCCCAGGGAGTGCAAGAACTCCAGGCGTCTCAGGATCTGGTCGATGATCAGCACCTGAGCTTCTGGTCTCTCGGCATGTCATGGGGGCTGGGGGGGGAGGGAGGGGAAGGGGAGGGAGCCATAAATAAGGCCTTATTAAGGCCTTATTAAGGGCTTAATAGGGGCTTGTTTAGGGCTCCCTCCCCCTCCCCTCCCTCCCCCTCAGCCCCCATGAGTATGTCTTTGAGGGTAATGTTAACCCCGGATCTAAGTGGAACCCCTGGTCCTGGTGGTTGATTTTGATCGGGGGGGGTCCCATTACTTCTGGAGATCTCCTTCTGGAGGGGATTCAGACCACTTTTGGAGGGAACCCCAAAAATGTGACGGGTCTATTAATCCTGGGTCAACATTACCCGTTTGATCCTTTGGGGGCTGGTTTGAAAGGATAACAAAGCCCTGCTTGCCCAAGGCGGCCAGGGCGGAAAAGGCTATGGACCAGTTCTTTTGATCAACTTGACCAAACAACTCATACTCCATGCAAACAAAACAACTCCTCACTTGCCCAAATGACCTGGAAATAGAAGGTTAACCTTTTGGAGTAGACCAAACCCGGAAAACTAAAAGGTCAAAAGGTCGGCTTTGGGCATGAAAAGAGCACCCTTTTTGGCCGGCCTTCAGAGGACACCCTTCCAAAGGCCAAGGTAAAAACGCCCTTGCGTCCGCACCCCCCCCTTTCCCAAAAACAACACAGCCCCCCCCCCTTCCCCCCCAAAAAAAAACAACCGCCGCAGACCAGGGCACGCAGCTCTGCGGGGACAGCCGCTTCCCGCACTGCTGCATGCGGTCTTCCAAGGACCGACCCAACAGCTCCATGGCCTCAATACCGTCGAAGGATGCCGAAGCCGCGGTGTTCGGCTTTTTGACCCCAAAGGCGGAGGCGTTGACCCCTGCCTTGAGGGCTTTTTCGCTGTTTCTGAAGGGCAAAAAGGTAAGCCTGGATTTGCATTGCAAGCAGCAATTGAGCTGACTGGCCGAACAAGTTCACCTCCACAAGTTCGAAGTTCCACCTACCCTCCTGGCCACTAGCATAGAACTTGACTCAGGGGTCCTGGAAGAGTATCTTCCCACCATGTTGGTGTCCTTGGTGAGGGCCCTCTTCCAAAAGGAGGGTAGATAGATCAACTTCCTGAGCGGACCTGGACACTTGGCCTTTCAACCTTGGCTCGTTGGAAGCCTGGCAAGGCCTGACAGGAATCCAAGCCACACTTCCCAGGGTCCCACCTTCCTTGACATTTCAGGGGTGAAACATGTGCCCGCAGATTCCCACCAGCTTTCTGTGGCAGAGGCCCTAATTTTTGCAAAAGAGCCAGAGCACCTTGCATCTTTCGTAGTAATGCCCAGACATGTGGTTCGTTTCCCTACCCTTGCTTCGTTCGAGTCGGAATAACATCAAATGGGTGGCTCGCTTCTCAATCTCTGGACTTTGGGTTCGAGTCTGGCGAATGGGAGGCTCAGTTGCCCAAAGCGAATCGACCCTTTGACCTTTTGGCCTTCACCTCAGTTAATCAGCGACCCTGGAAAAAAAGGGAACCTTTTTTTGGGAAGACCGAATTTTTAGTGGGGCAGCCACCCAAAAAAAAGATGATGAAAAGGGGAGCCACTGAGCAACTGAGTCACTGGTTGGTCGATTTGTTTGGCGATTTAGTTTCAATCTTTGAAGCCCTCCCAAACAAACTGACAACTTCAAAAGGTTAAGCCCTGGGGAAGTTAATATTTTACAGACATATAGCCCATGTTACCCCCAACAAGTTGAAAAGTTGTGTTTTTAAGAGGTAAGATTAGGATGCTTGAGACATGGCTATGGGTCAAAGTCCAAATCGTACCCCGAGTGAACATCCCAATCCAACCACTAAAATTGGTTCTAAAATGGGTGGTGCACCTACCCCAAAATGGCACCATTGGTTTTGACATGTTTTGACCCACAGCCACATCTTGAGATGGGACATCTAGGGCCTGCTTGAATTTCCAGGTCCGGGCAGAGGTTCCATGTCCACTGCCGCGGGTTTTCAACGACCCGTGCATCCACCTGCCACTCGCCCGGGCTTCCCCACGAGGCAGCTAAAGCGGCCCTCCACACCGAACCTTGGACCCGGCTCGTCCCCCGTTTGGTGGTGCAAAGGAAAGCCAAAAGGAAACGAGGAGCCGTGCTTGAGGGTACCCCATCTTAAGCCAGACCCGCAAAGCAGCTACTGGTGGTCTTGTCAGGTCTTATAATCTTATATATGTCACCCTTGACTAAGATGACAAACTTACCTGTTTTTAGCAGTCTTGCCCAACGAACGTGCACCAAGGTTCATTGTTTCTCCGCTCGGATGTGTGCATCCTGGCAACCTTAGCTTTGTGATTTGCGATTCCTCTCCCGTGGAGGCCGTTTCCCAGTCACAGTCCGCGTTGTGTGATCTTGGGCTTCCTTCAGATTTCACAAGGGTTGCTCAAAGGATACCTTTAAATCCATGTAGAATCTTACATTTGCCACCGACCCCTTTTGCGGAGACAAAGAAGGGTCTCGCCGAAAACCCCATTGAACCATCGAAAAGGGCCCGAAACTGATCGCAGGTCGCATACTTTCCTTACTGGGGACCCTCAGAGGGTTTATCTTTGACACTGGGAATTGCTTGCCACGTTGAAAAAAAGTTTCATCCCAGGGGGTTTGGGGGACTTCGACTTACAATGTGGGCACTGTCGGTGCCAATGGCACCTTATGAAGCATGTAAAGCCGCTGCAAAACCTTCAACTCTTTGCTGGCGGCGGCGGGGAACAAAGATTAAAGGCTTCACGGGGGTTTCCAAAGAGCAACCAGATGGTTACCCAAGCAGAAACTTTGAGAATCTCAGCTGTTCAGTGACCCTGAAAAAAAAGGGAACCCTTTTTGGGGAAGACCATTTTTAGTGGGGCAGCCACCAAAAAAAAAGGAAAAAGGGTGCCGCCACTGAACAACTGAGGAATAAATATGTTGTAAAAATGTTCAAACTTGGTAAACATGGGACTTTTGGGGGGGAGGGACCGCGATAATCAAAACTTGGAATGCAGCAAGCCCTACAAGTCGTCTCCTGGGTCCCGGACCCGCGTTTTTGGGGGTTCTACCATCCATTGAAGCCAAAGGGCCAGAAAGGCTTGGAAAAGCCCTGGATGTTCTCGTTGGCTGCATTGATGATCCGCAAGGTATCCTGCGCGAAAGGTGTTGAGGTGTTTTTCGGACAACACTGAGTCCTTGGGTGGCTTCACGCGATGCCGCGAGCGACCCTGATAGCAGTGCGGATTTCACGTTGCTCGAATTACCTCTAGGTCCTCCAGTCGAGAGGTTAGAATACATCTATTTTGGTAAGAGTGCCCTGCCCCCCCAAAAAAAATGTATCAGGGCACCTAGCAGGGGCACCTAGCTGGGTTTCACGTTTCTATGGGTTGTTTCCCCATTCTTTTCAAGCATGGTTCTTTTCGAAAACCAGCCGTTTTTTTCCGGGGTTCTGTGGGCTTTCTAGAAAGAAGGATCCCTGGAAAGAATGGGGGAGGTACCCCTAGAACGTTGATTGAATTACCCTGTAAGAATGCCGCTGTGTGACAACATGGGGCAGTGTGGGGCGTTGTGCAAGACTGCGGTCTCTGGCCCATGCGCCCCTCCCGCTGCGCCCAAACTACCCAACCATCCAACCAGATCGGGTCGGTCATACTCCGTCTTCAGCTGGTTCGGAGCTCCCTTGGCATGGTTGTCTTCGAACTTTATCGCCACGGATTCCTCGATTTGCCACGTCTTCGCAGTTCGGGACCCAGTCACGAAACACCCCGAGTGAGGCATTCTGTACGTTTGGACGTTTGCCTCTCACAAAATACTCGGCAAAGGCCATGGGTTTTGACTGATGCACCTTCGCGTCCACACACACACGCACACTCACGCTTGCATATGTGCCAGAGGTATGCATGTTCACCCCACATTCCCTGATACCGATTCTCACTTTTATCTACAGCATCTAAATACACGAATGAACATATTGAATGAATCAAAACAATCACTGAACATACAAAGATTGTCTGAATAATCAATCTCATCAACTGCAATCTGACATAGTGGACACCGGCAAGCCACGAAAGTAGGTAACAAACCAATTTTTCTTTTGGCTTCTATATCGGGTAGCGAGTTCCCTTGTTAGCTATGGGTAAATAGATCCAGTGGGCGTGTAAAGCCTCTGAAGTGGTAAACTTGAGGCCCCCTGAACCATGGAATTGGGGCCTGAATCTTTGTCTCTACTGCTTGAGGACCCTTGTGCGCTTGCATGGTTTAATCGAACCCTCTTCTGATTGTGTGTGTCCTTTCGTCCCAGTCAGAAATGAGTTGTTGGGTTGTTTAAATCCAAATCCTGTCCACGGGTGCAATGATTCTGGTGGCATTTGTTACCCCTCAAATCGATTGCGTGCAAATCTGCAAGCAACAAGAGCGGCAAATTCGTCCGAGGCACGCCGGTGGTCTTCTCAACTCCTGGCGAGTCGGCTGAAACATTTCGGTCGGCGAGGTTTCAAGTCCCGAGCTGGGGATAGGCGGAACCCTCCCACCAGCTAACATGGGTTTGTGCACAGACCCCTGTAGAAAGACGACTTTCCTCTTGGAAAGGGCCTTTTTGCACTTCCATGTTAGTTGGTGGGAGGGTAGAAAGGGTCTTTGGATCCACCCTTTGACAAAAGGGGGGGAAGCGGGGTTGGGGGCCCTCAATTCCAAGGGATAACGCTACCAACTCCCCCAAAAACACATCAGACTGGCCTGTAGATGCGCATTAGACGAGCATGTGAGAACCTATATTTGGAATCCCTCACTTCTGACATCCATCCTGTTTTTAGAACAAAAGGCAAGCTCAACGTCACCACAAGCATTTGTCATGCAAAATGTAATCGCATGCGGTGACAAGGCTTTGCTGCCTCATGCGATCCACCACCCTTCGGCGCAGTGACGTGCTTACGCCTGGAAGTCGCAAGCGCTTTGGCCCACTCAGCCAAAGAGACCACGCTCCCTGCCTGAATGGGGTGGAGCGCTTACGACTTTCAGACGTAAGCACGTGAGCCCCTCCAGGAGCACGTTCACCACGGAACGGAGCGCCGCTATTGTCGTCGAAGCGCTTACGACTTCCAGGCGTGAGCACGTCACTGCCTCAAAGGGTGGTGGATCATGATGGATCGCATGAGGCCACAAAGCTGCGGGCCTTAACAGCTGGGCCTTCTTCTCTGGAAAATCATCTGAGATCGGAGTCTCCTTGTTGAAGGGGGTTTCCCAGTGAAATGTTCGGCGTGAAATTTCGAGGGTAACCCGCCCCCCTCAAATTCCAAGGCTAAGGCGGGGGGCATGTCTTTGGCCTTTGGGAACCCAGCTTGCGGCTTGAGAAATTTGGGGCTCGGCAGCCAACTCGCCAAGCGCTCGCTGCATAAAATGAAATCCATCTGAGTACAGCCGGCAAGTTCGAGCAAGAGACACCTAGGCTGGAATTAGGACACCGGCAAAAACATATATATTGTTTTTTCCCGGTTAGTGGAAAACAAAGGGACCCCAAAAAAACACAAAGGGGAGCTAATTCTGGGGAAGAAACCGCTTGTGAACGCGGTGAGGGTTGATCCGGAGACGCTGTGAAGGCCAGGAGCAGGACGTGGGAAGAGGGGATGGTTCCCGCGAAGGTTTGCCCTCCCGAAATTGAAGAGCCATTGGGAGGCCAAGTCTTCCCTATGCCGCGATATCGGAAAGGCAACAAGGTCCTCCAGGTACCGTTTCTTTTTTCTGTAGTCTATTTTAGTAGGGAGCCCTGCCCCAAAAAAGAAGAAACCGTAAAAGTTGGCACCTAACTGGGGGACCTAGACAACACGGTTCAAACATCGTTCTTTTCAAAAGCCGGATCTGTTTCCCCAGGGTCTTGGCAGGCACCTGGCGGGGCCTAGGCAATTTCTGCAAGCACCTTTAGAACTGCTGCAAGGGTGGGGGTGATCTGAAGCCAACCCCACTTGCCCCAATACCTTGAAGTAAACTTGGTTGCTGCTGACCCCCCTCCAAAAAGTTTAACTCTTTTGGGGTTTAGTGTCAAACCCCTTGAAATCCCAAGAGTTAAAGCCTAAAGGTCATGCCCAACAGCAGTCAAGTACTACCTTAAAAGGGCTAAGCTTTTGGAAACCTTGACTACATATCGACCAAATCCGGGAAACTCAAAGGTAAGGTCGGTTTGCTTTCTGCTCCCCTGCTAAAAGTTGACAACTTTTAGCGGTTTAATGGAAAACCCATCAGTTGGCCAAAAGTTAAAGTGCTAGCATCCCTTGGCAAAATGCACCAAAGGTAAGGCCGGTTTGCTTTGCGAGCTACACATCCTTGCAAAGTGTGCCCGTGCCCGACGCCCAAAGCGACCCACCTGACTCCCACGTCCCGCCGTCCCGCCGCGCCTTTCCAGACTTGACCAAAGCACCCGGCGCCCAGCGCTTTTTGGATCTCGAAGCGGCCTAGGAGTTCGGCGCCAAAAAAAGCGGGGCCTTGAATCGAAGGCCACAAATGAACCCATGGCCATTTGGGACCCTTCGGGGGGCTGATTTCCCACCATGAAGCCATAAGTACGGGTAACATTCACCCAAAAACCCAGGGGATCATACCAGGGTTCATACATGGATATATTTAGATGCAGCCTTTGATTGAAAAAACGGAGCCAAGCGGACACAAAAGGACACTTCTGGCTGGGCTGTTCAAAATGAACCGGGCTGGCCAATCGGATTTTCCATAATCCCCCTGTGAGGAAGCCGCTGCCAAGGGGACCAACTCCTTTCGTAAGCCCTTGGGTAAGGATTCAGGATCGCCTTTTTGAACAGCCGAGACTAGGAAGGCTACACCAACTTCGGAGAGGCCGAAAGGAGAGAAACATACCAAACACATGTCCTATGGCTTGGTCTTTCAGATCGCTCAGATTGCTGTTCAGTTCATGCGCTCAATGAATTGTTCTTTTAAGGAGCCCTGTTCATATCAGCTTGCAACAGTTCCGCTCCCGAGATTTCGCGCGCCGAGATGCCATTGCCCACCTCTGAGGGAGGTTTTGGCGGCATGGCCGCATCACTTGTCTACTCTTCTGCGTGGTGTCTGGAAGCCAAAACGGCAAGCGGTGAGCGCAAGATCTCCAGCCCCAATCGCCCCATGTCCATCCAGCCTCCCCACAAAA